ATCATGGGTCATTCTAAGTCTATGGGCAATATGCAGGGACCCCCAAAACCACCCCGGGTATTAGAGCGAGACAGAGGAACACACAGCTTGGACCGAAACCTCGAGAACAGAGGCATCACAGACCACCCAAGAATACCCAGTGACATACGTGGAACACACTCATTAGAGAGAGACCACTCAGAGAGGAAGTGGAGTCATGAGAGACTTGAAAGACCACATAGAGAAAGGTGAGCATGAATGTGCATTTTGTGAGATAGTTAATTGTGATTATTAAGTGAACAGAGAATTCTGGCTAGTCTTTATAGTTTTTAGATAATTTATTTTTTGTACAAAAGTATTTGAGATAGAATAAGATATCAGCTAATTGAAGACATAGATTTTGATTGCAAGATGTGAAACACTTTTGATGTACCTTTATACTCTTTCAGATTTTTTTATAATTTAATTTAACACTTTGTGCTTTATGACAGATATTCCGTGTCCACTGTGAGTTTAGTTTGGTGGTTATTTATACAAATAACTCCAGAAATACCAAGGTGTCAGTTACTAATAAACTTTTTCCTTTTTTCCTTCATTTTTGGTAAAATATTTCTTTCTATTAGTATTTGTATAACATTGTAATAGTCACAATGTCAGTATTTATAATAACAGTATCAATATTCATAGCATTAAAAGAAAAAATTCCCTGATGACTCCAAGAACTGGGAAATCAGGCTTAGTCATTGGCTCCTTGGTGGCTGTGCTTTTTTGTGGCCATCTGTATGCAACAAAATTCATAGTAGACTATACATGTACCTACATAAAAAGGGTTAAATTTACTTTAGTATTTGATATCAGTGCAAAAGGGATACCAATAATTTCCTTTTCTTTTTCTTATTTTTTACAGAGAACGTTCAGATTACATGGAATTTCGCCGTGAAAGAGGTTCTAGTCTGGAGAGGTTGCTTGACCCTGAGGAAAAGGCAAACCATGTTCCTCTTGGGCGTGCTGGTATACGCTCGGCCTTGCAGACGTGGCACAAGGAGAGGAGCAAGGGAGACCTTGGAGACAACAACAACAACAACAAAATCATGCACGAAAAGGAATTCAAGGAGCCAAGGTTAGCTGTAATATTGAAATTGTTAGGTCACATCTTTTTATAGAGCTGGTTGCAAGGTAGAGAAGAGGAAGGAGTCCTCTGAGGAAGCAAAGGCTCATTCCCCTTTGATTAGGAAAAGATTAACTCATTCCTGCTAGGGATGCCACATTCATACATGCCATGCCCACTGTGATTTAAGTTTATAAATTTAATTTATACTTAAATGACTTCACAAGAGCTTATTCACCAAGGAGTCAATTAAATAAATTACAGAGAAGCAGGATATCAGAGGAGGTCACTTAGGTCTACTAACTGACTCCTTTGTGGCTGAGTACTTGTAGAGCCATGTAATTGTAAATACATTTCACAAAACAGTAATAGGTTAATATCTAGGTTGGGTTGAGGTTATGAGACCAGCTTGATGTTAGCTCTATTTCCTCAAAGAAAGATTGGTTATCCCCAAAGACAAAGTGGGGAAAAGGTATGAAAATGATAGCAATATCCATTGCAAAAAACTTATGTTACATAAAACCATTGGCATCTGTTGGTTTATAAATACACTGATAATTGCTTTACAAAATAGATAAATAAATAATAGAAAATCTAAAATATTATTTTTGAAACAGAGTTCAGGCAGTGGAACCCATGGGCCGTGGAGTTGGTGATGGAGGTGACAGCACAAGAGCAGCTGTAGTGAACCACTCTGAGCCTACTGCGCTCGCAGCTGCTGCTGCACCCTCTGCAACTGCCATGGCTGCTGCAGCTCCTACCAATAAGAGGTCCAGCAGAAGAAGAGAGCCAAGGAGACACACACTCCAGAACGGCATTGACAACAATATGGTTAGTCAGGTTCCTGTTATCATCTTTTTTTGTGTGTGTTTTATTAATTTACCTTGAAGTTATGAGAAATTAGGAAAGTATGAAGTGAATACTTATAGATACGTTATCCTCTAAAACTTGCACAGCTGCGGCGTTTGAAGCAACTAGAGGCTGAGAGAGACATGTTGGTACAAGGTTATGAGGTGGTTGAGAGAGCCAGAGCATGGTATAGACAGCAGCTCCAGGGTATAACAGAGAGAATTCATCAGCTGCCACATGGACCTCCAAAACATGTAAGTAAAGCAGTTTCAAATGTTCGTGGCATAATGATTTTTCAGACTTCTCTCTACTATATTTTGATTGGTGACTCCAACTTTTCCCATTTTATTCAAATCATTATTTTCTCAAACAGGAACCCAGCATTGAAGCCCAGCAAGAAAAGTTACACTTCCAGTTGGCACGTATCCATGAGGTAAATGCCCACTTACAGGCCTTGATGGAGGCCACTGAGCGAGGCCTCCCAACACACATGAACCTGGCCATCCGCCCCATGTCGTCCGCCCTTCCACACACAGGAAACCTGGGTGAGGGAGCAACTGCCTCATCCAGATGTCAAGGAGCAGAAGCTGAAGACCAGGATCGTGTAATTGATAGACTGAAGGATCAGAACCACTTGCTCACTGAGGTATGAAAAATGTAATGACCTTGAAGTTTTATTTATTTTAAAGGGCTTACTAGGTTATGCAGAATGTTGATATGAAGCAGGATATTAGCCTTTTAAGTAAAATCAGGAAAATGATGGTCTTGCCTTTTCTAATACACCATTTCATTGTTGTAGCAAAGTTAAAAAAAAAAAACATTATTTTTTTGTATGTATTATATTGCCTTTGATGTTGTTTCTGGGATTATCATTTATTTGTAAATTCTCCATTTTCTGTATCACATCATTTCAGGTAGTAGTAGCTTTTTTGTATAGTCATGACAAATGCTTATTTTCTCCTTTAGCTAAGACTTTGTATTACTCCAAATTTCCTTTGCCACAAACAGATGCATTCAAAGAGACTATGGGCTTCACAGTACCATTAGCCAATGAACTGTCAACTTTACAGTGTTTTCCAATTAGCCTTGCTGCTACAATTTAGACAAAGAATGTCAAATATCAAATGTAGCTACCCCAGAAAATTCTTTATCAGTACTCCTACAAAACAGACAATGAAAGGTTTATATTTTTGATTTGTTTAAATATTACCAAATATATTGTTATGTAATTAAACCCAATTTTTTTTCTCTCTCCTTTTTTTTCAAATGTAGGAAGTAAGCAACAAGAGTGAACGAATCACTGCCCTGGAGCGAGAGAAGGCTGCCCTCCTCCGGGAGCTGTTCCAGTCACGGTCGTCACACCACCACCCACAGGTTGCCTCGGCAGATTCGACATTCATGTGATTTCCATTCCATCATTCACCTTTGAAAGGCTCAACTACTAAGAATAATTCTAAAGTGCTTTAGGGTCAGTCAGGGAAACATGTGAAGGACAATCAGACCTTTTGCTTTGTGTTCTCAACTAAAACCTGGATCTGCCTCAGCTGCCCCTCACAAGCTTGGCTGTTGTTTTTATCTACATATTTTTATTTTTATTTATTGTCTTCATTTTAAATAACAAAATGTTACTTATTCACATTTGTTAATGAGATATCTACCAGTTGATTTGGTGTATATCACATATCATACACGTATGATTTCTTTAATTCTGTTAATTACTGATAAACAGTAAACCTCATTTGTTGTTTTTAAAATGGTTGCTTCATTTTTATAAAGTTGTTATAGATATTGTTGTGAGACACTAGATGCAATACATTTACTCTGAGTGATAAACAGTTCAAAAAGCTTTATATAGACATTCACCTTTACTGAATGTCACTTATTTGCCATGTGAGTGGAGATCAGGGAATATCCTAGCCAGTCAGTGCCAAGATTGCATTTAAAAGGTCTATTTTCTACTTTCACAAGACTGACAGAAAAGGAAATTAATCATAGTCAAGTGTTTAAAGAGTATTGTTATTCCATGTGTGAAACTTCAAACATTCCTCCCATGATCTCCATGTACAAACATTTATTCTTAGGTTAGAGGCTTTATTACTGATATATTGACAGTGTGATAAATTACTACTGGTTTTGTTGATTATATGATTTATAAAGAATACTTCACTTTGTTTATTCCACTGTTTATGGTGTTCTAGTGATTTCCCAATAGAATTTTGTGAATCATTCGACATTTCTGCACATGTTCAGTGCCATTGTTAAGATTACTTTATATAAAATTGTGTATGTGATATATTTTAAGTGGCCACAATCATTTGTATTTGAATAATTATAATGATACCGAGTGCTGTTCTTCGTGGAGTTTTAACAGAAAATAGGATTAATGGCTTTAATGTTTAAAACCAAATGATGATCACATGCAAGATCAGAGACTGTATAAGGAAGAAAAACTAAAGAAGTAAAATACGATAAGACTTCTATGCCAGTCACTTAGTCGATATTTTATTTCCACTTCTAGTTAATTATCTATTTGATCTTTAATAATTTTGCAAGCATATATGATAAAACATTCCATAAAGGGATTCTGACATAGAGAGAGGTCAGAATACAGGATTTTTAATTTCATCCATCCTTGTCACATAACCAACAAGCTAATTCTTATTTTAAGATTCTAAATTATCCTTTTTTCTATATGATATTTCAAGCTGGTTTCAATTTATTAAACAAATGCTCTTCATAAAATGCAGGTTTATTTCAAAACTAGCTTTCATTTGGTAATGCTTCTTACATGATTGCCATAAATACTTATCAGTATTTAAGACAAACTGCCTAGAAGAATGCAAGTCAGTTTACGATTTTTAATATCCTTTGCCATATACTGAAGAGAATGTTAACTAATTTCCTTAAAGAAAAGTAAGATAATGCTTTCATGTAGTTTTGCATCTTGTGTAACAGGTACAAAATTAAGTGATGCTGACTGACTGCCAACAAAGTAATTGTGCTTATAACACTTGCTTGCCGTCCATAGAACTGTGATTTTCAAATAAAATTGTTATCATATAAA